CTGGAACCATGCTTAAGCGCTCCTGGCCCGTCTGACGCCGTCGAGATCTTTAGGGAGGACTTCGGTTCGGATTGGGGGGCTGTCTTAAGGCGCTTCGAAGCCGCTTGTGCGGCGATCTTGGACGTCTAGGAGGGCTCTGCGGCCGTGCTGTGAGGCGATCTTGGACGTCTAGGAGGGCTCTGCGGCCGTGCGGGGGCCTTGTTGGGACCGTTTTGGGGAGGCTCTGAAGCTGTTTGGGGGCGTCTTGGGCCACCATGAGGCCATCGTAAAAGGTTTTGGATGCATTTGGGGCCGGTCCAAAAGACCACTTGAAGGCGTCTGGCAGAGGGAGCGGGGGCCTCTTGAGGCATTTTGGGCTCTTCGTGCGCCTTTGTGGGGTACTATGATGGCGTGGTCCGGCCGCTGTGGATTTGCCGGGCGGGTTTCCGGATGTGATTTTATAGGATAAAGGAATATATATATATATATATATATATATATACATATACATATATATTATATATATATATATATATATATATATATGAATATTCCTCCTGTAGAGGAACATGCCCGACTCAATGTTTATGCCGATCTCCCATCTTCGACGGCAGAGGCGAGCACCGGCTGGCAGCTCCAAGAGCATGGGCGGGCACCCCCCGAGCCACTCTGGAGTCCCGAGACGGTGCGGTGACAGGCCGTGCGGTGACCTCGAAATTCCCCGAGACCTCACCACACAGTCCGTCACCGCACGGTCTTTGGACCCTGGAGGCGCCTGCCGCTCGAGATGTCCTCGGAGAACGACCCTAGTCCCAAAACCGCGCGGTGACCCCGCATCCCCACCGACTCACCTAGGGGAACAAAAAGTCACATAAACATAAAAAACTCAGAGGTCCGCGCGGATTTCTCGGATCGGCGCTGGACCCCCCTCCCTGGCGCGCGGAGCGGGGGCGGCGACGGAGGCGCCGCCGGGGGGGCCCCAGCGCCGATCCGAGAAATCTGCGCGGACCTCTGAGTTTTCACGCTTACGTCACTTTCTGTTCCCCGATCACCGCACGCTGTGGTCGCCACCCCGTTTGGGGGGCCCCCGAGCCGCTGCCGAGCCACGCCGCCGGTGCAGGGGCAGGGCCGGCGAGGGGCAGCACGGGGAGGAGGAGGTCCCGGAGGTCGGAGCCGCCCGAGGCGTGCTCCGAGGACTGCCCCGAGTCCCCGAAAACTGGAGCGTGCGGGGAGCGTTACCAGTCGGACTCGATTGGACAGGACACGCGAGAGGACACAAGACCCGTCCGGGGGCCACATTGCCGCAGGAATGTGGGAAGCACGGGTCGCGAGGCACAGGGCACAAGGGTATACCCCTGAGTTGGCAGGGCCGACCTACTAAGCTGGGCCGACTGCAGCGTGAGGGGAACGTTCGGGTCAGGCCGGGCATGTCCCCTTACACGCGGCTTCTGGACGAACAACAAAATATGCACGTCGTTCATTTCTAATCGTGCTCATTTCTAAGTGCGCTCGTTTCTCATTGTTCCTGACCCCCCAGTGGCCAGGGAGAGGCCCAGGATAGAGCAATTAGAAATGAAAGGATCTTGGCCCCCAAAAAAATCAAAGAGCTTCCGAATAATGAGAAATGAACCATGTGTAATCAAACAGTGTTCCAAAATGGTCAAAAGATCATGGAAAAATCGTCAAATATCCATCCTGTAGAGGGACCTGAACGTTAGGGTTAGGTCGGGCATGTCCCCCTACAGGCAGATTTTGGACAAAAAATACAATATAGCCAAACAGTGCTCAAACATGGCCAAAAAATAATAGAAACATCGTCCCCAGACTACTTGTTGACTATCATTTGGTTTTCGTCCAAGATCCTCCTGTAGAGGGACACGCCCGGCTTAACGTTAATTACAATGGAGACACGTCCACAAGAAACCTTCCACAAGAAAAACACAAGCCTGAGACCCCAGGGCGTCCACTGCTGTTGGGTGTGGGAGCGGCGCGCTTTCCGTCGCAAAACCATCGAAACCCAAGAAACCCAGGGCACCCTGTGGAGGCAAGCAGGGTGCTTCTTGGCATGGGCCCCCACTGCATGCGGGGGGGGGGGGGAGGACCAGCTCGGGAGGGAACCGTCGAGCCGGCACCGGCGGTACACGTCGCCGAGACAGATCGGCGGTCGGCCCCGGAGCGAGCGCAGCCGCGGGCTCCTTCCGGCGGTGGACAAACCTCCCTTTACAAAGGGGCCCTGGGACACACGAATAAATACACACAAATGAAAATATCCCCCATGTTTTCCCACATTTTCTGGGTGTTTGTCTTCCCCCCCAATGCCCACATTTTCCCATACTTTCTGGAGGGTCGACGACGAATTGTGTCCGTGTGTGTGTTTGTTTCCCCTCCTGACGTTAGTCAACCACCCTGTAGCGAGAACGGCCCCGGATCGAAGCCGACGGGCCTGGACCCGCAAACATTGACGGCCGCGACGCCCCCGATTCGCTCATTTTCGCGAGAGGAGGGGGTATCCCAGGGTGGGGGCTGGGCAGGGGGAGGGGAGGGGGGAGGAGGAGGAGGAGGAGGAGGAGGAGGAGGAGGAGGAGGAGGAGGAGGAGGAGGAGGAGGAGGAGGAGGAGGAGGAGGAGGAGGGGGGAGGAGGAGGAGCAGGAGGAGGAGGAGGAGGAGGAGGAGGAAGAGGAGGAGGAGGAGGAGGAGGAGGAGGAGGAGGAGGAGGAGGAGGAGGAGGAGGGAGGAGGAGGGAGGAGGTCCGTCCACCTCCGCCCTGCTTCCCGGGCGAGGCGGGGCCGTCGGGCCCCCCCCCTCGGAGGTCGGTGGGCGACGGGTGGCCGACGCACTCCCCGAGCCCATGCCCCCCCCAGCGTTGCCTCTGACAGGCAAGCGCGTCCCACTGCTCGCAAAGTCACTACTCCAGATGTCGTAATAAAAAAGGGAGGGGGGTCTCATTTCGGGGGTCGCGTCTCTTCCAGGCCATCTTGGAGGGCATGGGGGGGTCTGGGGACGATGTTTTGGAGGGTTCTCCCACGGGGGAGGTCTGAAATGGCTTGTCTTGGAGGGTCCAGACCCCCTCCCATTTATTACGAAATCTGGAGTACTCGCAAATGTCCTGGATCCCCCGCGGGGAATAGCTTCGATGCACCACATCGAAGCAGACATGTGTTTTTTCTCGTACGTGTGCGAGTAGGCACTCTGCGAGTGGCAGCACGCGCTCGGTGACTGAGGGCTTGTCGATGTTTCGCCAATCGACTCGTGGGGATCGAGCCAGGCAAATCCAGGCAGGTGCAGATGAATCGAGGTAAGTCCAGGTAGATTGAGATACATCCGGGGCAAATCCAGGTGAATCCAGAGATCCCCAGGGAAAACTGGAGCAACGCTCGGCCACTCCAGCGCGAGGCGAAGGACGGCAGAAGTCCTTATATCGGGTCGGGCGAAAGGGGGGGATAGCAAAGGGGGGGGGTGAGAATCAGCTCACGTAGCTGATTTTCCTGGCGCCTCCCGGCGCCAGGAGGCGCCCATGTATCGAGGAATGGACCCGGCGGCGGGGCCGAAACCAGCTGCATGCAGCAAATTTCGTAACCGCCCCTTTCCCAATCTCCCCCTTTCGTTCGGCCCGATTAAAAGCCTTCGACGACCCAAACGTTGCCTCTGAGGGCGGTGGCATTGCCCGAGAGCGCTCTGGCGTGGCACCGCGCGGGGGCCGGTCCCCCCCCCGCCGATGGGCTCTCGGTGGCGGTGGTCCATGTCCAGGGGAACGAACAGTTTACCATCCTGGAACATATCCCTATCCCTATGTTGGGCATCGCCTCATCACGATGGCGATCTTAGGGATTTCCTCAGTTCCTGAGGGTGCATCCCCAAGACTGTCATCTCCTTTTAGCGTGTCAATCTTAGGGATAGGGATAAGTTCGAGGCTGGTGAGCAGTGGCATAAACACAAAAACTCGGAGGTCCGCGCGGAGTTCTCGGATCGGCGCTGGGCCCCACCCCCCTGGCGCGCGGAGATCGCCCGGGGCGGTGCCGGAGGCGCCGCCAGGGGGGGCTCCAGCGCCGACGCGGGAAGCCCGCGCGGGCCTCCGGGTTTTGTATGTCTATGTCGTTGCTTGGTCCCCGAAGGTCTCTCCTCGGAGCTGACTCGGGCTTGACTACCTACCAGACCACCCCAACCCGACCCGAAGACCCGAATTTCGGGTGGGGGGGGGGTACGGGTTCCATATGTGTTTTCTCGATGTTCCCCGACCCCCCCCCCACTGGAAATGGAGGGCAAATTGAGGCCTTCGGGTTGGGTTGGGGTGGTTTGGTGGGTGGTGAGGGCTGGCCCCCACGGAAGAGCCGTCCCGAGAGAAGAGCGGGCACTCCACTGGGGGTCTGCAAACGCCGCCTCGAGAGAGCCGACACCGCGGGGAGGACCACACTCTGGGCGCAGGTATGAGGTCCGTGGCCTTCGCGGGGTCGTCGCTTGACGTCCGCAAACTTCCGCCGCCGAGCCTCTAGCTATAGCCCCCGCCGGGAAAGTCGACCTGTGCTCGCTTCGGGTTCCGAGGACCACTCTTCAGCCTCCGAAGGCAAGAGGCTGACCGCTGCTTCCCCAGAACAGGGGGCAGGACAACCAGTCACGCCTTCCAAACGAAGCTATCGCTCAGAAACGCCCATGGGCCACTGCTCAGATGGCTACACAGGAGAAGGAAGGGCAGAAAGACAGAGAGAGAGAGAGAGAGAGACAGAAGGACAGAGCGAGGGATTGAGATTACCTTGCTCCCATTCTACTTAAGGACCACATCCCAAAAATAATTTCGAGCACCCAGAAAAGTATCGAAACAGTGTCGAACGAGTATCGCATCCCCGGACCCGACACGTGAAAACCCTCCAGATTCGGTACATTCTTGGTGCTCGAAATTCTTTCTGGTGATCAAGGCTAGAGTAGGTTGGAACATCATAAGATTGTGAGTGAGAGATATATAAAAGAGAGAGAGAGAGAGAGAGAGAGAGAGAGAGACGAGGACCATGTTGTGACCCAGCCCGATCCTCGCCAGCGAAGTCGTCCTCTGCGCCTGGCAAGACGAGCACCCGGCCTCCTGGGCTGCAGCGTGACCCCCCAAGCACAGAGCACTCGCAGAGCGATCGTGAGCCTGCGACCCACCATTCCTCGAGCGAGGTGGACATCTGGAGTGTGCCGAATGCTGCGCTGGTTTCCCGACTAATCCTCCCCGCTACAGGCCTCGGACAGCACTCAGGACCCAGCAACTGCCTCAGACCGAGCGCGACGGCAAGCTGCCAATTACAGGGAACGGCTGCTCCCTTGAGGGCGCCGTTGGACCAGGCCGGGCAATACCTGCACATCAACTGCTCACGTTGGCGGCTCGCACAGCGGGGGGGACGGTGAGGGGGGCGGCCTTCTAAAAAGTCGTGGAACCTCCTCAGAAGACAGGTGGCTGCTTCGAAGCCATCCCAGCTTGCAGAGGAGGCCAGTCCACAAGAAACATTCCACAAGAAACCCAACCCTGAGACCCCAGGACGTTCATTGATTTTTGGTGCGGGAACGTCACGCCTTCCACCACAGAACCATCGAAACCCATAAGAGACCCAGGGCACCCTGGAGGCAAGCGGGGTGCTTCTTGGCATGGGCCTCCACTGCATAAGAACTTCGAGGAAGGCCCCTGCCTTCTGAGAAACCCCGCCTTCTGAAGAGGCCGTCGCCCGGAAGAGGAGGAGGAGGAGGAGGAGGAGGAGGAGGAGGAGGAGGAGGAGGAGGAGGAGGAGGAGGAGGAGGAGGAGGAGGAGGAGGAGGAGGAGGAGGAGGAGGAGGAGGAGGAGGAGGAGGAGGAGGAGGAGGAGGAGGAGGGAGAGGAGGAGGAGAGGAGGAGCAGGAGGAAGAGGAGGAGGAGGAGAGGGAGGGGGGGGAGGAGGAGGAGGAGGAGGAGGGAGGAGGAGGAGGAGGAGGAGGAGGAGGAGGAGGAGGAGGAGGAGGAGGAGGAGGAGGAGGAGGAGGAGGAGGAGGAGGAGGAGGAGGAGGAGGAGGAGGAGGAGGAGGAGGAGGAGGAGGAGGAGGAGGAGGAGGAGGAGGAGGAGGAGGAGGAGGAGAGAGGAGGAGGAGGAGGAGGAGGAGGAGGAGGGAGGAGGAGGAGGAGGAGGAGGGAGGAGGAGGAGGAGGAGGAGGAGGAGGAGAGGAGGAGGAGGAGGAGGAGGGAGGAGGAGGAGGAGGGGAGGAGGAGGGGGGAGGAGGAGGAGGAGGAGGAGGAGGAGGAGGAGGAGGAGGAGGAGGAGGAGGAGGAGGAGGAGGAGGAGGAGGAGGAGGAGGAGGAGGAGGAGGAGGAGGGAGGAGGAGGAGGAGGAGGAGGAGGAGGAGGAGGAGGAGGAGGAGGAGGAGAGAAGGAGGAGGAGGAGGAGGAGGGAGGAGGAGGAGGGAGGGAGGGGGGGGAGGAGGAGAAGAAGGAGGAGGAGGAGGAGGAGGAGGAGGAGGGAGGAGGGAGGAGGAGGAGGAGGAGGAGGAGGAGGAGGACGAGGAGGAGGAGGAGGAGGAGGAGGAGGAGGAGGAGGAGGACCTCCCCGAGATCGCCGCCTCGCGCACCTCGCCGCCGCCAGCGGCGGCACGCGCGCAGCCCCAGACCGCTCCCAAGAGAGGGGGGAGGACGCCAACTGTGCGCCTGCCCCGACCCTGGCCGGGTCCTTTCTCCGGTGGCAACTCACGGGAGCCTCCCATACCATCCTGTCGGCTCTGCATATGCGACGCCAGTCGACGCTACATCTACGCCAATCGATGCTAGATCGACGCTGATCGACGCTGGCGGACGCCACATCGGCGTTATCAGATCGACTCCAGACACTGAAGACGGAATTGCGAGGGTATGAAAGGCCCCCACAATTTACTACCGAACATATCCACTGCGCCTTGGAGTTCCGGGTTCCCTTCCCCAGAAGCCAGAGGGGCAGTGGATACGGAGACAAATTTGGCCCCCATAGAAGCTAAATTGTGTTATCCATATCCATTGCGCCTCGGCCTGTTGGCGACCCTTCTGAAAGAGTCCAAGGTGCAGCGTATGTCTACATAAATCCTGCCCGTGATTCTGGGCCTGGGACCGGGGTGCACGCCCTCATGGCCTGCCCGGGGAGGCACCTGCACTGATCCTGCACCACCCCCGTGGACAAGTGGTGCAGCTTTTTGTTGCAGGGATCGTGTCGAAGCATCGTCCGGGGAGCTTCCCTGGGGTTGCGTATTTTTTCTCACGGCGCCGGGGCCCGACAACGGCTTCCCGAGGCCCAAAATTACGAAAAGCCGAAGGCGACGAAAACTTGTCCGTTCCGTCGGCGAGGCAGACTTGGCTGCACCAGCGCGAAAGAGCTAGACGGGGGCGCCGAAAAGCGAATTGGGCGAGGAAAACAAACAAACCGACGGTGAAAGTTGCGTTGCTTTTCCGGGGCCACGTGAGCGACATAGCGTAGCGACCTTACGCGGCGGCTAACGCGGGCCGCCCGCGCGGCACGCCACGTTGGAGACGAGGGCGCTCACGCGCAACCTTACGCGGGCAGCTTACGCGCCAATGTCGGCCCAGACGACCCCGTTTTCTTGCGTCGCTCATGAGGGCCCAAGACCGGCCCGGCCAGAATCGGTGCCAGTGTGCAGCCGGCGTCCGCGGCGCGCGGGCAACGCAGGCCGCTCCCGAAGGCTCGCCCGTGTCATGTTCCACCTCGCCCTGCCCACGCGGCCGCGCGCAGGAGTGCCCCCAGGCAGGAGACCTCTGGCGCGCGGCTTTTGCCAGCCGCTGCGTGCGATGCGACGGTGGCCGCCTGCGTGCTCGGCTCGGTCTGGCTCCCCCTAACGGACAGCCGAGCCTGCGAGGAGGAGGTGCGGACAGCCGGGTCTGCTGCGAGAGAGACAGTGGAGGAGGAGGGAGGAGGAGGAGGGGGAGGAGGAGGAGGAGGAGGAGCGAGCAGAAGCCGAGGGGCAGTCGGATCGGACCGCGGCCCGAGGAGCTCGACGGTTTCACTTTACCCCGCGCTCAGAACACCGCCCGAGGGACGGGACCTGCGCCAGGCTCGTGCTCACCTGCTTGGGCCCGAAGGACGGGGACCGCAGGTCGACGACAGGGCCCAGCGACGGCACGAGGAGGCCGAAGTCCAGAGCGCCCTGCGAGTCCAGCACTCCCAGCGCCGAAGACACGAGGAACCACCACAGCAGCACGAAGACGACAAGGTGGCCCACGAACTCGTCGCTCGAGCTGCGAAAAGCAAAACGAGACAGGCCGCCCAACACACAGAAACCCAAAGGCCAGCAAGCTGCAATCCCATGGGCCCAGGAAGGACGATCCTGACTCGGCGACGTGAACCTGCCATCGGCAGGATTTAAAACTGAACAAGCTCGAGAGCGCTCCAGCCAGCGAGGATCAAACACCACAAGCCGCCGACCACCAGAGCGTCCACACCAAATCATGATCGACTTCATCATCGGAATATGATTCACGCGGAGCCCCCAACTCCGAAAACTCGGGGTAAGCGAGGCCGTGGTCCGCAAGAATGCACGCCGTGTCGAGGTATCTCTGCGGCTCGGCCTTGATATCCCTTTAGGTCGGCTGGCGGACCCATCATGACACAGCGGATCCTGCCAACCTTTAGCACGACAAAAACACCTTCTCACACTCTCAGAGGGCCTGCGCGAGTGGAGAAGCTTAAGGCGCTTATGTAAGCTCTGCGGGTGCCTCAAATGCTCGAAGTGTCCCGCGTTTTTTGAACTCTGCCACTGCCTCATCGCCAGCCGCAACAGACGTGATCGAGCCCTCGATGGTTAAGACTGCCAGTGTCGGAGTACTTGCAACAGCTGGTGCAGAAAACCCATGAACGAGCCTGCCCCTTCCACAGGATACTCCAGCAACGCATGACCCTGCACCATCCATGGCCAGGGAAGAGTAGCCTCCTTAGCTCCCGCTTCCTGCACGGGCGTAACGACGGCATCTTCCTCAGCCTCGGGAAACAGGTAATATCTGAACTCCTCATCCTGCTCATAAAACCACACCTCAAACTGTGCGGTGTAAGTAAGAAGCAACTTGCGAGGTCGACTGGCACCCCTGACGGATCTCTCCTGCTCATCACTGGCCGCGAGGAAACTAGCTCCAGCTTTGGCAAGGTCATCGGCCTCCGCTTTGCAGCTGCGGTCGAACTCGCTGATGGTGTGTTCGCTGACGTCCGCCATGGAGGTGTGCGCCTTCACGTGGCTGAAGGTGGCACGGCAAAAATCTTCATTCCTGACAACTCGCTCCCACATGAGAGCTCTGAGGTTGGCTGGCCCACACGCGGATTCAACCTGCGGTAGCAACCGACTGAAATCTTGCAGTCGGACTTAACATGGTAAGTGCTAAGGACCAGCTTAGATGTCATCATCAACGCGACGGGCGACTTGGCTGGGGCCCTCGGCCCGAAGAACGGCCTGTCAGAATTGTAAACCACCACGGCCCACCCTGCCGCGCGAGGCTCTGGAACCTGCACCGTGAACGCGCTGCCGTCGACAAACACGTAACCGCCATTCACAGAAACAATACCGCGGCGATCCATATCTATGAGGTCCTGATTGCGACTCCTGGCCCGTCCGTGAAAAGTTTGGCCCGCATGGGGCGGACGACCTCTGGCCAATCTGTCCTGACGATCCTCTGGCTCCGACAAGAGGCGGCGAGCGGCTCGCTGGACTTCAGGAGGGATCAACACCTGCTGCTGGGCCGCGAAGGCGTCGCAGACAAAGAACCGATGAAGTAACGTGCCAGGCGCCGCCTTGCACCTGGTGCAAAGATGTGACTCACCAGGAAAGGAACTGGCCACACGCACCTGCGACCAGTGACCTCCTGTGACCACACCTCGTAGCGATCGCCTCTCATAATGCGTCAACTTCTTGCCGCGCAAACACTCCTGAATGGGCCTCCAGGCGATGGGGCCCGTCCTTGTCGAGCCTTACCCTTGAAGGAGGACAAGAGCATCGCGGTCGATCTGTCTGCGCACCCCAAGTTAGACCACATGCGCCGTCCAACTAGCCGAATAGAACCTGAGGTCCCAATGCGTACCTTCATCATCTGCAACCGTGAGTGGATCAATTAACTTCCAGCAAATACGATGCAGGCTAATCATGAGGGCAACAAGTGGGTTCTTACTCGTCAACCAAGCCTTGGGGTCGTCCAGCAGCGTCATGGCCCCGACCATCAGAGATGAGACCATCGATGTGCCGATCGCCCCTGAGCCCAGCCCAGTACAACAACAAGGTAAGTGTGCACGGCATCGGCAGTAGCAGTAACGAGCGGGTCGTTCTGCCACCCGCTTTCTACACACATAAATGAAAGACCAACCGAAGACCCAGGCTTGAACCGAGACCCCGCATTGAGAGAAGAGGAGGAGGAAGAGGAGAAGGAGGACGAGAAGGAGGAGGAGAAGGAGGAGGAGGGGGAGGAGGGGGAGGAGGAGGAGGAGGAGGAGGAAGAGGAGGAGGAGGAGGAGGAGGAGGAGGAGGAGGCGGAGGAGGAGGAGGAGGAGGAGGGGTAGGACCTGAGGAGGAGGAGGAGGAGGAGGAGGAGGAGGAGGAGGAGGAGGAGGAGGACGACGACGACGACGACGACGAGGAGGGGGGGGGAAGGAGGAGGAGGAGGAACGCTTGCAGCGCTCGACGTGCTGCCTCGCACACCAAGGGTCGCTCCAGATTTCGGGTCCCGGCTCGGATCCCCGGCGGCCGCCAAGCACGGCGCGGGCACCCCCCCCAGGGCGCTCGGCGAGGCGCCGCTGCCGGAGCGCACCCCGAGGCAGAAAAGGCCGTCTGGCACCTGCGACAACGTCCGAAACGGGGGGGGATTTTTGCGCTCTGATTCGCCGAGGAGACGGTCAGCATGGTGCGGCACTCACTAGCTGCTGGCACAAACGGGGGGGGAGGCGGGGCGGGGGAAGGGAGGTGGCGCAGCTGCTGGAACGCACCCCGAGGCAGAACAGAAGCGCCCGGAAACTGCGAGAACGTCCGAGAGGGGAGGTGGGGCGGGGGAAGGGAGGGGAGTGCGGCGGGGGAAGGGGAGGGGAGTGCGGCGGGGGAGGGGGGTGGCAGGGAGGAGAAAGAGGAGGGGGGACTGGAAGAAGGGCGCCGAGGAGGCGCCAAAAACCTCCAGGCTTGGGCCCCGCGCGGCCAACCGAAAGCTGCGCACTCGGCCGACCCGCGCTGAGCCGGAGGCCGAGCTTGGGCAGCACTGTCTGGAGCCTCTCGCGCCTCGGCGGCCCGAGGAGGACGACAACGACGACGACGCGGAGGACGACAACGACGACGACGACGACGACGACGACGACGACGACGAGGACGACGACGGCGACGGCGACGGCGACGGCGACGGCGACGACGACGACAGCGACGGCGACGGCGACGGCGACGGCGACGGCGACGGCGACGGCGACGGCGACGACGACGGCGACGGCGACGGCGACGGCGACGGCGACGGGCGACGGCGACGGCGACGACGGACGACGACGACGACGGCGACGGAGACGGCGACGAGGCGACGGCGACGACGCGACGGCGACGACCGACGACGAACGAGGACGAGGACGAGGACGAACGGCGACGGCGACGGACGGCGACGGGACAGCGACCGACGACGACGACGAGCGACGACGACGACGCGACGGACGACGACGGCGACAGCGACGGCGACGTGGAACGGCGACGGCGCGACGGCGCGACGGCGATGGCGACGGCAACGACGACGACGACGAACGACGAGACGAGACGAGGACGACGACGAAGGCGACGACAACGGCGACGACGACGGGGAGCGCGGCGACGGCGACGACGACGACGACGGCGACGGCGACGGCGACGGCGACGGCGACGACGGCGACGGCGACGACGGCGACGACGGGCGACGGCGACGGCGACGGCGACGGCGACGGCGAACGACGGCGACGGCGACGGCGACGGCGACTGGCGGCGATGGCGCGGCGACGGCGACGACGACGAACGACCAACGCGGACGACGAACACGACGACCACGGCGACGACGACAACGACGACGACGACGACGATGACGACGACGACGACGGCGACGGCGGCGGCGACGGCCACGGCCACGGCGACGGCGACGGCCACGGCGACGGCGACGGACGACGGCGACGGCGACGGCGACGGCGACGGCGAGACGAACGACGCCGAGGCGACGACGACGACAGACGGCGACGCGACGACGGCGAGGACGAGGACGCGACAGCGACGACGACGGCGACAGCGCGGCGACGGCGCGGCTTACGGCGACGGCGATGGCGATGGCGACGGCAACGGCAACGGCGACGGCGACGGCGACGGCGACGGTGACGGCGACGGCGACGGCGACGGCGACGGCGACGGCGACGGCGACGGCGACGGCGACGACGACGGCGACGGCGACGACGACGACGACGGAAAGGATGGCGACGACGACGAGGACGACGACGCCGACGGCGACGTCGACAACGACGGCGGCGACGATGGAAAGGATGGCGACGGCGACGGCGACGACGACGACGACAACGGCGACGGCGACG